GGAAATGACAATAATGAAATATTCCATGGGAACTTTTGAGGAAAACAAAAACAAACCAAAAAATCGATTTTAATTTCAGTGAAATTTTATATATAAAAAAACTGAAAATTTGAAAATTTTTCATTTTTTCAAGTGAAAACTTTTCATCAGATCAATAATAAAACAAACATAATGAACAAACGAAACAAAAGAAAATCAACGAACTTTTATCAATTCACAACCGATTGATGATGATAGGTAGGTAGGTAGGTAGGTGGGGCGATTAAGTTTTTGTTGTTGTTGGTTTTTTTTATATTTCGACAAAACTAGATACCAGAAATCTACAACAACAACAACAAGGAGAGAAATACACCGAGGGAGAGAGAGAGACACAGACATAGATTATCCTAATATGAATTATTGTACACGCAATGTCAATGCTTTTGTTTTTTGTTTTTTGTCAAAATAAACTTTAGCAATAAACACACACATAGAGACATAGAATATTTCTCAGGTAGATTGTTCATTCATAGGATAGATTAGAAATATTCATCATCATCATCATCATCAACGACAACCAGCATCAATCATAGATTGAATTATCGTTGTTATTTCTCTCTCTCTCTCTCTCTTGCTTTTTTTACCTGAAAAAACAAAGTCGAGAAATATCAATTGTCAACCAGGCTAGAATAATTTGCACAGTTAGTTAGTGTTTCCATCCGAAAACAAAAACAAGGTAAAAAGCACAATAACCTTTTGCTTGTTTGTTTGTTTGTGTAAAAGTTTAAAGTTTAAAATTTCAATTATATCATCGATAATTGTTGTTGTTTGATTCATTATTTCTTTTTTGTTCAATGATATTTTCATTTCATATTCTGTAAAGCCAAACAACCAAAACAAATTATAATCGATGTTATTTTTTTTCCGCAAAAGTTCAGTGGTTTGGTGAATTTTGTTTGTTTGTTTGTTGTGAATATTTCAACTCGTGTGTTTCTTCCAAGTTTATTCAATTTTGGTGCCTTGTTTTTTGTTTTGTCTTTTTTGATGTGAAAATTCAATCCATTATTAACAATATGTGTTTGTTTGAAATGTGAGTTAAGTAATTTTATCAAATATGTAACCTTTTGATGAAACAAAGGTAAAGTCATTAACTTTCATCATTATTTTTATTTTTGTTTGTTTGAAAAATGATCGATTTTTGTTACTTTTTCTTTTTGAATCGCTAATTTTATTCGCTCATCATTATCAGTAGCAAGAGAAAAAAAAAATTCTTTAAAATTTTTTGAATTCAAAACAAAAAAAAGTTTTCTCGAATTACAAAATTCATCAACAAACAAACAAACAACAGTGTGTGTTTGAATGTGTAAAAAAATTTCATTTTGGTCGTTTAGCACCGGGAAAAAATAATATATCACCAATGGATACGAAATGAGAAACCAGAAAAAAAATACATTAACCATCATCACACGATAATCATACGATTCCGGGTTCTTTAAGCAAAAAATCCATCGATTTTTTTCCCCTTGACAAAAACAAATAAAATGAAAAAAATAATGGTTTCTTTTGAAAATGAATGAAAAATTTTTCATTCCAAAATGACAATGATGATGATGATGATTACCGTGTTCCAAAATGAATCGAATATTTTCTTTTCGTTCAATACGAGACTTTGGTTGTCGAATCAACCAAACCAACCAACCAATCGACCGACCGACCGACCTAACGTCAACCCATCATAGATGATCGTCAAAAACTATTTCTTTTCTGTCTATCATTTGTTTTCAGGTTTTTGAGTTTAATGTTATTTGTCACGCAATAATTTAGTTATAGATTTTTAATTTTTTTTTTGTTTTGCTTTGTTTTTTGTTTAGAAACCAATCGAACCGCGAACCAAACCGAGAAAAAAAATTTAAAAACAAAACAAAAAACAAACCAGAAACAATGACAATTGTGACAATCTTTGGTTTGGTTTGTCAATATGAATGTATCATCATTTGTATTGAAGAATTTCATTCATTTCATTCATCATTGTCAATTTGTTTTTTCGAAAAGAAAATCCGATTTTAGAAAGAATTTTTTGCGAGTGATTTGTGATTGGCAACTTGCCATACTTTGATCAAGATTTGAATATCTAAATCCAGCTTAAATTCAACTCTTTTTGTTTCGTCCAAATCAACTTTGATTCATTCATCATTCAATCGATCGATTGATTGATTGATACATCACTGATATTCCACCTTTCATTTGCTGCAACATTATTCGTATTATGTGTATGTTGTATTTGGAAAACTTTTTTCCATTCTCTTCTCCCGTTTTTATGATCCGCCTTTATTTCAAATTTCCACTACTGTTTTTCGTTTTGTTTTGTTTGTTTCATTAATTTCAGCCAAAAAAAAAATCAAATTGTTTCTGGAACACATTCATATATATACGTTGTACAGAACCTTACTACCGCACTTACTATCAGTTGAATGTGTCCACCCTCAAATGTCTACATGTATCCGATGTGTGTGCGTGTGTTTGTGTTAAATATATAGATGTTTGGATCGATATTTTCAAACAAAAAAAAAACATATACCCGAACAATGAAAAATCAGAATAACATTACTAAAAGATGTTTAAGTGAATATAATTCATCAATTCTTTGGCAATCGATCTATATAGTTTCAGGAGAGAGAGAGAAAAAAAACCATCCTTTTTTTCCCCGGAATAAATGATGTTAACAAGCAATACTTTTTTTTTGTTTGTTGGATCCATCATCGGGTAAATATTACCCGGTATTGTTCATATAGAATGCACACAGAAAAGGCGTAGCTCATTTTTTTTTAATTGAAGCCTGGCCCCAAAAATTCATCGATTTATTAACCGTTTTTACCATTCTTTTTTTTAAATTTAGTTACTCAAAATATGATTATATCATTATCATTTTATAATGGTAAAGATTCGTCAAAATTGAAGAATATTCTTATCAAACAAATATTTTGTATCGTAAAACTTTCTTTTTTATACTTTTTTTTATATTACAAATTCAATCATCAATCATCAAGTTTGAAATTATCTCCCTTTTTTCTTAAATTATTAACAAAACGAAAAAAAACACCAAAACCCTTGTGACCAAAAATTGAAAAATAAAACAGATGATAAAATTGAATGTGAAAGAAAGATAAAGAAGGTGATTATAACAATTGAAAAGAAAGAAAAAAAGAAATTAAAAATAAATTTTGTTCAGCAGTGAAAACAACCAAAAAAAGATATCATCATTTTATCAAATGTTTGTGTATTTCATTTTTGTCTTATTTTTGTTTCATTTGTATCATTTATAACGACGGTCATCGACGATCATCTTTAATCAATCATTAATAAATTATTAATGAAAAACGAAACGGAAAAAACAAAAGATAATGATTTAATTATCAAAATCTATAAATATAGTAAGCAAAATTATTATTATTATTATTATTTTATTTGACATTTTTTTTTCTACTTGTCATTTGTCTACGTTTAACAATTATTATTGAACAGAAAATATAATAATAACAACAAAATTTTATCATCACCCAATCATTATTATTCGCGATTATAATAATAATAATAATAATAACGAAAATGATTACCGAAATGAATTTGATAATAATAAAATTATTATTATTTCAATCAATTTGCGAAGGTGTAGATTTTTTTTCATAATTGATATCGATATCTGAATAAATAATGATGATATTGACATTTACTAATGTTGTTAATGATTTTGGTAAATGATGAACAGCCGAAAAACCCAAAGAAACAAAAGAAAAGAAAGCCAAAAGATGATCTTAATCATTTTTGTTTTGTTTTATATTTTCAGGTAAAATTTATCCATTGTCCTTAGTATATAAATAATGAATTTTTTTTACCGATGAAAATAGATGAATACAGAATTGAATTTCGATCGAATCAAATTATTATTTCTTTGAATTTTCTTATTTCGTTCTTCTGTCAAATTTCTCCAATTATTACATTTGGAGGGGGAAGAAGTTTCTCAAATTCAAACGACTATTTCAACTTTAATTATAATTATCATCAATTTTTTTTCTATTTCAACCCATTGTATATTCAAAAAAAAAACGGTATGTACAAACAAACTTAATTTTCATTATTCAACCGAAAAAAAAATAATAATAATCCATATTTTCCTTTGAAATCTGATAAAAATTTTCATTATTCAAACAAGTCTATGAAGCCAAAAAAAAGTTCATAAAGAAGTTTGCCCATTCAAATCTACCTATTCAATCTTTCTGGTCTTTTGATTTTTTTTAATCAAACTATGATCCTTTTTCATTGTTGTTGCTGCTAAAATAATTAAAATAATCGATATTTGTTTCTTCTTCCCCCCACCAAACAAAACAAAAAAGCAAATTCAAGGTTTGTAATTGGTAAGACTCCGGTAATATGCAACCGGTATGCAGTTTTTTTTTGGTTATTATTTACCTTGATTTTAAAAAATTTCAGACATCCATAGTTCCTGTCTCATGTCACAAGATTGAAGAATGATAATGATGATGATGATGATGATAAAGTCAAGGATTTTTTTTCTAAAATGATAAGAACAATAATCAATGAAGCAAAAAAAAAATTTGGACATCATTTCAACATCATTATAAAGAATCATTACTTCTTTCTTCTATTTTATATTTCAGTCAATTCTTGTGCGTGTGACAGCGGCTATAGGATGATGAATTTTGTCGTCTTCTTTATTTTTATTGTATTTTTTGAATTTGACAGAAAATTTGATGAACATTATCTTTCTTAGTAGTCATTTTTTTTCTCTTCTTTTTCAGCCATCCTCGATATTTTTTTAAAGAGTTTCTTGTTCGGTAAGTTCATGCTGATTATATTTTATTACTAAAAACCTTTTTTTTCAACTGATAAAATGATTCCATAGGAAAGAAAAAACATTTGGTTTTTGTTTAATTGTCTGTTTTGTCAACCATCATCATTTGGATAATTGGAACAACCAGTTTGGCTTTTTTTCATTCTTCAAATCAGAATGGCCAATTTTCATTTGGAAAAATCTTCGGGAACAATAAACGGGTTAAATATCTGGATGACAAATCGTTTCGTTTCATGGTTCGATTAACACATGAGAATTTTCGTATTTCATCATCATTCTCGTATATATCAAGATTCAATCCGGCGCTTGTCAATCTCTATTTTTTTTTAACAAACAAAAAACAATGAAACCTTTTATAATTATGTAATGAATGATAATTAGTTTGTTTTGCCAGTCTAATTAAATATAATTTTCAACTAATTTTGATTGATTGAAGGGGGTTAACTTGTCTAATCGGCCTCTCTCTCTCTCTCTCTAACTCGGGCTTACCTAAAAAGCCACCGGTAAAATTATTCATTATTTTAAACAAATACCGTTTGATTGATCGAATATTGTTGTGAAAAAAAATCCAAAAAAAAGGGTTAAATAAATCTAATCAACACGATACCAATGCTGCCATCTATTGAATTATCATCATCAACATAAAATCTGTTAATCCAATTTTGAAAAATGTTTTGATTGGATATTTATTTCAAAAAAATAAAATTCATTCATTTTTTGGCAAAAACAAAAACAAAAACAAAGCAAAAAAGACAATATAAGAATAGAATCGGAATAAAATTTAGCATAATCAAAATTGGTTAAAATTTTTAAAAACAAAAAATAAAATAAAATATCACCTCTTAAAAATCACCTTCATCTTTGAAACGAAATTGAAACAATGGTTGACGAAAATAATATTTTGGTTGATATAAATAATGCATTCTTGGATCTTTTAGATATGGTTTTACAAATTCTTTAGAATATTCATAATATTCTGGACAAGTTGGTGATTTTCTTTTAAATTGATTATTTAAACAACAATAAAGTGGTTTGGAATTTTTAACAAATTTAATTGGAATATTTCGATATTCATTGATGAATGATGTGATTGATTTGGAATTATCAATATTATGATTATTATTTGTTAGATTTTCTTTTTGATTATCAACCATAAGATTATCATCATCAGCAATGGAATCAATTTCATCATATGAAATCGGTTGTTGTTCATTGTTTGTTATCGATAAATGATCCATGTCTGTTGAATTAATTTTGCTATTATCGTTGATTTCATTTTCATCATCATCAATGATTAAATTTTCTGATGTTCGCCCATCTTCAATATCATTTTCATAATTATCATTGATGGTAGTGTGAATTTTTATCGATTCATCATCATCATCATCATCAATACCAACAACATCAATATCCTCATCTTCGTCATCATCATCATCAACAACAACAATAACTTCAACATCATCATCATTCATTTGAATTCGGGTTTTTTCGGTATTTTGAGTCGATGTTACGTCATCATTTCTTTTTGATGATGAAGGCAATAAATCCAGATCAGGATGATTTTCACTAGTCGTTGATTCTTCTTTATCAGCCATTTCAGAAATTTCAGCTATTTCGATTGATTGATTAATGTATCCAATTTTTTCAATCTCCTCAGATGATATTCTTTGATTTATAATGGAATTATTTGACTCCAATGTATCAATATTATTTGCATTCGATGTATCAATATTAATAGATTTATTAATTAATGGAAAAATTTCAGCCATTTTAACTGGTTGATTGATAGGTTTTTCAATCATTTCAGATGATTTTTTTGAATTCACAATGAAATTATTTTCATCCGATGTATCAATATAAATAGGTTCTTCATCCGAAAATGTATCCTCCGGTTGATGTTGATTTTGATATGTTCCTAGTAGAATATTTAAAATATTTTGAAAATTTCGTTGATTATTTGATGTACAATTAATATTATCATTAACAATATTATTACCACCATTATTATTATTTTCGTTTGATGTATCATCACCGTTCAAATGAATTAGATAAGTATGATTCGATTCTCCATTAATTTGATTATGATGATTATGGCGATAATCATCATCTTCAATGGTCGTTTCATCATTTTCAACCAATTCGATTGTTGTTTGAAGCTTGTTCGTTTTTTTCTTCGTCAAACATTTTTTTGTTACTGGTGTTGATTTTATCAATTGTTTTTCGTTATGATTTTCATCAATTTTAAATCGTTTTCTTGTTTTACGATCAGATTCGGGAAATTTTCTTCTTCGATAAATTCGTTTTGGCTCTTGTTGATGTTGTTGTTCTGGTTGTCGGTCAGAATTCAATAATAATAATTGTTTTTTCTTTCTACCTCTTTTACGTTTTCTACCTTTTTTATTTACAATAATATTTGGTTCATAATAATTATTAATATCATCAATATATTTTTGATTAATTCGATAAAGTTGTTCGATTTCCGAGGAATTTTCCAACATTGGTTCGATAATGTTTCTGTAAATATTTTCGGAAAAAAAGGATATAGTGGAATAAAATAGATTATTTCTGGTTTTTTGTGTTTTTCAACGAGAAAAAAAATAATTTTTACCAACATTATAAATTCAAGATTTTTCAATGATGTTGTTAAATTATACATAACATTTGTACCAATATAAATTTCCAATAATAAACAATGTTTAAGTTTAATTTTAGTTAAATTATCATCAGTTTTTTCATAAATTTTTTGTAATGATTTTATCATTGAACGTAATGAACCGGTATTGATTTTATATTTTTGATTATTATTATTAATGATAAAAGAATCGTCATTTATTTGTTCATCATGTTGATTCACTGGTTGTTGTTGTTCATCGTATGAATCATTTTCACTCATTATTGTATGATAGGATGATGGTAATGATGACCATGATGATTCGGATGATAATTGAATAATATTAAAATCATTTGATGGATTATCCATTGTATATTCTAATTGTTGACAGAATAGATTTAAAGAAAATGAAAAACAAAAGTTAAAATTCAGAATTTTCGCAAAAATAAATGTATCGAAATTTGAGTTAGGTGTTGGGTGTAGAAAACCAGCATCTCAAATTTCACAACAAATTCGAAAAAAAGATTTGTTCGAAATTCGAAATTTTGATACTTTTAATACTCACATAATATGGAGATCAAATGCATACCAAATTACCGGGAAAATCTTTAAATCCTAAACATTTTTTCGGGAAAAAAAGAGAGGATGTGCAAACTAACAAAAAAAAAATGCTACAATTTTTGGAGAAAAAAAAATTCGAAACTCTGAACATTTTTTTTTTGCTACACACACACAGTCAGGACAGACAGACAAGCAGACAGGCAGACAGACAGACCAACATGAAAAAACAGAATGCTCACTTTTGGAAATTGAAAATGGATTCTTCCGAAAAAAAAAGAACATTTTTTCGATTTCGCATTCGATCGAATGTTTGTTTTTTTTACGTGGTGATGCCATTTTTTTCAATATAATCCATGTGTGCGGTTTAAGCAACAGGGTTAAAACCAAAAAAAACCAGCAATTTTCTTTCAAAAATATACGATTTTAATCAATCACAACAAAAAAACAAATATTCACATTATCGATATTTAAAATCAAACCAATTAATGGATAAAATCACCATGGTAAAGATTTTGGGCAAAAAAAATGTCAGATTTTTATTCAGATAAGTTTTTTTTAAAATGTTTTTTTTAAGGTTTTAAACCCGTTTTTTGTTTTTTGTTTTGTTTTAGTTAAATTCATTGTTTTTGTTAAACCCCATATCCATAATTGTTTGAAATCCCAATAATTTTTTTAAGAAAAATTAATAATTTTCTAATGAATAGATAATTTTCCCATCATCATAATCATCATCATCATTCAATGTTAATTGTTGATCATTTCCGGTATTTTTGGTCAAATAATATACGATTTGATCGTTAGATGGCATATCCATTGATATCTGTTGAATTGAATTTAAATTATCCATAGAATATTGTTGATAATTTGATGGTAAGTTTATTAATTGATTTTTTGTTCCATGATTTGTTGAATAATGATATTGTACATCAGGAGTTTCAAAGGTTACCGATGATCTTGATGATATTTGATTATCATTCGGTGAATAATTGGATTTGTGACCAGAAGATGGTGCTACTCGTCTTGTTTTGTTTGGTTTTCCGTTGCTAATAATGGTGGTGGTACGTTTTTTCGGTGATTGAATTTTATAATGTGGATTATTATTAACTGATGATGATTTATCTACATTATAGCCCATAATTTTGGCCCAATATTTAAGAATATTTTCCGTTTCCTGATACATTGAATGATGTTGATTTGAATGTGTTTGGCTTTGATGATGATGATGATGATAATAATTTTGATGATAATCAACATTTCCATTATTATTACGTGCTTGTAATACAACTGTTGGTTTTTTATGATGATTAGTCATCGAAATTATTGGACGATAATCAATGATAGTATTGGATGATGATGGATCACGTATATTTCGAAATTGTTCTATCGAATCATTTCGATCATTTATATCATTCATCATCATTGAATCGATTGTATTGGATTTTTCTGGCGACCACATTGTATCGATTGGTTTACAAGAACATTCTGTATGATTAATGAATGTTAATTGTTCAATATTTTGATTACGACGTAATATTGTTGATGATGATTTTGGTACACCGATAACAAAAAAATATAATGTTAATTTTTCAACACGTGATGGTTGACATGAATGTGTTGCATGTGGACAACAACCGGTAAGATCCGAACAACGATGTAATAATGTTGCACGTGGTAAATAAATTTTTTTACTATCATTTAAATAGATTAATTCGGGTCGTGGTTTTGAACATTGTGCATCTTCATTAATACGTATACCATGTTCATAGGCTTTTTGTGCTAATTGACGCATCATATTCATTTGACGACGATAATTTTGTGATGACATATGTTGACCAAAATTTAAATCAATTATTGTTGATAATAGTATTATTGTTATTGTGAGCATCATTTTTTCTAATGATAATGATGAACTGAACATTATTGGATTCATTTGATTGGTTGAATGTTTACGATTTCATTTTAAACAACAACAACAAAAAATGCAAAAATTTATTGAAATTTCATTTCATTTGATCAGCAAAATAAAAAAAACAGCAACAGCATCTTTAAGCCAAGCCAAAATTATCATCAAAATATGGTTGGTTTTTATAGCTTTCAGCGACGACAACTATGGTAGGGTATGAAAAAGAAAAAAAAACTCCCGGAATCAAGATGATGATTGGGAAAAAAATAATAATGATAAAAAAGAGAAGAAGCCAATGAATTATCTGCATGAGAGAACCGGAGAGAAAAAAGAAAGAGAAGACATTGCCATCGAAAATGGAATGTTAACATCAACAACAACAACATTATCATCATCAATTCGAGAGCATCATTTGGTTTTTTTTTCTCGTTGATCAATTTTGGCCATTGACTGACATACAATTGTCGTTTGTATCATTATGATGATCAACTATACTAAACAACGATGACGATTACCATCAGGTAATCAAAGGAAAAAAAACAAGAACCGATCAAGCAAGCCAAAAAGTTTGATCACCTTATTGATGATTATCCTGATCAAATGAATATTCAAAAGTGATCAGAATTCGAAAAAATACACTTTTTTTGTTGTTCATTCATAACTCCTACGAATATTTTCGGTTTTCAAGTTCAAGTCTTTTTTTTTGCTTTACTTTGCTGCGTCATCATTGTTGATGATCATCTTTGATCAACGATCATCAAGGATAGATAATGATGATCACAATATAATGATGAAATGGTATCATGTTTGCAGAGGGAAAACAATTTTATTTTTAAAAAAAGTCAACATTGTTTGTTTGAATGAATAACTATGAACTGTGATGTAACGAATCTTGTTTATTTGATATTTGGATTTGTTTTGATTCAACAACATCATCGTTATCTATGTTCGTTTTACTTCAAAAGAAAAATGACCTTTTTCTGATGTATTGAAATTCTTTACATGATGCAACAAGTTGTTCAATGGCAAAATGGTATTATTCGTATACAAACATAGAACCATGGCTGGATAAATTTAATTAATCTCTTGATCATTTGATTAGATAATTGCCTTACCGGTTAACTTGATAATTTATTTATTTTTTCTGTTCAAAACAAGCAATCAAACAAACCAAAAAGTATTGAAACCTAAAACCGTAGCAAGAGAAAAAAACCGGTCAAGTATCGAATATAAACTTGTCATAAATGTGGTAATTAGTTTTTGAATGATAAAAACTTCGACATGTTCGATTATTATATACGCCCAATTGTCAAACACTTATGATAAGGTGTTAAAACAAAAAAGTTTTTTTCATCAGGAAATTCAATCGATTAGAATTTTGATGATGATAATGATTTATAAAAACATGCAGAAATTCCAATAAGAAGTTCAATGTTAAATTATCATTATCGATTGATCAGGAAAAAAAAAGAAAAAGAAATTAATGATAATGTAATATTTCCCCTTTGGTTACTTGTTTTTTTTCTCTTCCATCAATATATTTTCGATGATGATAATGATTGATTTTTTTACGAAATATAACCCATTGATCAATTCAATACTGGGGGAAAAAAAACTTCCGCAATTATTCAGAGACTATCGATAGAATCGATTCGAATGAATTTTTTTTTTTGATTCGACTCATTTTTATGCAACAACAACAAATCGTTTGATGATGATTGAAAATATTTTGATATCTTTGTTCATAACCTTTTTTTATTTTATTCGTCTTGTTTTTTTCAAAAAAAAAACAAAAACAAAATTAAAGGTTGATTGCCCTCCATACACACGATACAAAGACGATGACAAGGTTACGCTACAGCAACGAAAATTGTGATGCCATTGGGGGTAAAATTGGGAAATTCCCACACTTATATATACAAACTTTTGGTAAATGATTCGTATTTCATATTTTGTTCTTTTTTTTCTCATTCATTCTATTCAATTCAACAATTGTCTTCTTTATTTCCGGGGTCATTTGTTTATTTCGGTATGTAACAATATTCGTGTTCATTTAATAATCAAATATTTTTATTTCTGATTTAAAATTAAAAGTATAAATAGTTTTATGGAAATCATTCTAACATATTGTAAACATAACGTTCAACATTATGTCTATTGGATTGATTCAAATCGAATATGTGAATCTCTGGTCTGTATAAGCAATATTGCATAACTTAATACATAACTAGCTAATGATAACATAAATAAATTTTTCAGATCAAATGTGTCCATCACAGTGAAATAAAATGAATCATGCATCATACAAATCTGTTCTAAACAATGATATTCACCATCATTGATTATTGGACGTAAGCCGGTCATAATCAAATTGTTGTGATTCGTATTGATCAATTGCTTTCTTTCTGGATGGGATTTATAATAATTATTATAATGAACCCGAAAAATATTAGCCAAAGCTATACGTTCCTGTATTGCGTGTACAAAATCACCCATTTCTTTATGCATCCATTGTGATGCCATACAACTAGCCGATAAATCAATAAACATCGGAATCAAGTATGTCAATGTAGAAATCACAGGTAACCATCCAATTTTTGGCGTATTCAATTGATGATCAAATGTGCAGATGCAGGTTGCCATCATCAAACCATTGGTCAATGTTTTCGTTAGCATTGCTGCCGATGAGAGATGATTAATATGATGAATATTATCACGTAAACGGATTATTTCTTGCAATAAGATACCATAATTTGAAAAGGTAGGTAATTCTTCTTTATAAACTTTTTTTTTTGGTTGTTGATAATTATTAATTTTAATTCCAAAATGATGTTTGACAATATTTACTTACTTTGAATTCGTTCATTCACCAGAATTGCTGTATAAACGTAGATAGCAGCCAACCATGTTACATTGATTGCATAAAAAATTCCAGCAATTGTAAAACTAAAAACAATTGGCATGGAATGATTTTCAATAGTTGATGCAATAAAACTGAATGATATAGCATACAGTATCATTACGGAGATAATAAATAAATAGATTAGTCTATAATAGAATAAACGATGACTATTCGATAAATTTATGCCTGTATCAATATTATTTAGAATGACAATAATACGATGTCCACGAAAAATATTTGT